TCATGTGTAGAAAACCTTCTGTGTGTTGCTCCTTCCACATACTCACTTGAGCACCTTCTCGATCCAGTGACGTGCATGAGAGCCTCTGCTGACCCAGGTCTCTCTCCCCTCACTGTCTGAGACAAAACAGCAGGAGCCATTGGCTCCTACTGCTATCGATCACGGCCAATGAGTGAGGACAGGCCCAAGCCTTGGCTCTAGGTCTCTTATGGACGGGCTCAAGAGCAAGCAGGCACCAGTGACCCCATAGCAAATGGCTTGCTATTGGGGGCACTGGCCAAGGGAGAAAAGCCAGGAGTGCTGGTGGTGGACCCCAGAAGAAGAGGATCAGGACTGCTTTGTGCAAAACCACTGCACAGAGCAGGTAAGTACGATATCTTATTTTTTTTTAATCCAAACCTTTAATACCACTTTAAACATATTTTTCATTAGGGTGGAGCCGCACTTGCTGACATCACGCCACTGTTGCCAAAGGTCGGAACGGCGGCCATCTTGAAGAGGGTCCACCTGCGTTTTTTGCCCTTGGCTCAGCATCCCCTGCAGAGGTTTCCTAGATGAGATGTGCTTATATGCGGTTTACCAGTAGATATATGGTGAGTGTACATCTGACAGAGGTGGTGGATTCCCTATTGGATCACTTCACAGTATTTCACTGCGATTGCCGTACTTCAATCCTTACAGACAATTTATAGCTCTTACTCCACTGTTATTTCATGGACTTTATATATTCTCACTTTTATGCTGCACTTTACTGTTTCACATTTATTGAACTTTTTTTATATTTGATTTTTATATGCTGCACTGGACTGTTCCGCTGATCAATTTTTTTTTTTTTTTCGCTGTATGTCAGATTGACTTTGCACTTTATTTTCACTATAATATCATTCACTTATTTTAGCGCTGCACTTTCTATATATTTATCCATAAGGAGTTGTTACCTTGCTAGCTGCTTTATAGTTCCAGCGCTCGCCTATTATTATTATACAGTAATTATAAAGCGCCAATAGTTCGCTCAGCGCTGTACATTACAAAGGGGGACAGAACAATACCAATACAATGCAAAACATGAGGGAATTGAGGGCCCTGCTCTTTCGAGCTTACAATTACAATCTAGCCTAGACTTGATATTTATATTTTCCATACACGCCAAGGTAAAGCTGACAATACACCGATTGTTTTTAACAGATTCCCCCATCCACACAAACCTAAATGGGCATTTAATCTTAGCAGTGTGGGAGCAGACCCACTGCAAAAGAGGATTTGTACTTTTCCTTGACTTGGAATTTTAAGAATGGTTTTATGTGCTCTGCCGAATATTGCAAAAACAGGTGCTGTAAAAAGACAAAAAAAAAAATATAACCACACAATATATTTCACTGAATGGTAAAACGCGATTTGGGAGAGATTATCTTTCCGTATTATCACAGTTTGGAAAAGTAAAATCAGGAACACAAGCTCACTAATATCTTTTTGCACAAAGTCAGTTTTATCTAAAAGCACATTTACTGCAAGGGGTGAAGCTCTAGAAGGTTCTCCAAAGAACATTAGAGCAATTATTGCCATAACTGCTTTGTTAAGCATCCCTCTGTGAAAAACAGCTGTTAAAATCATCAAGCATATTTTTAAATACCAGACGTGGCATTATGAAGATTTAAATGCCGAGTTGGAGAGAGGTCGTCTCTGAGTTGCTGAACATTTGCAGGCTGAGAAAACGTAACCTGTCATTTGTCTTGCATCTTTTGTACTCTGAGAAGTTCTCATTGAACAAAAAAAAAAAAAAAAAAAACACTGAAAGTCTGACAAGGAGGAAAAAAAGACTGATCCTGGTACAGCCTGTGCCTGTTCTGTAGCCAAAAATACCAAGCGGCATGTTTTGTGACTGACTCCCTGTGTAAAGCAAAATACCTTTGTGACCACAACATCCTCCCACACTCTGTACTCTACAAATCGGCAAGTCTGAGGTCACCACCTACTCAGTGGAGCGAAATCCCACTTCAAACTTTGGTTACCGCTTTTCACCTTGCTGTACGTAAACCTACTGCTGTAATTGCCGGGGCGATCCAGTTAGGAATGTAAAGCATTTCCTAAAGAAAATAGAGAAGTAACCATTTGCCAAGTACATGTGTGGGAGGAACTCTTTCCTGCCGTTACAGTAAATACTACAGGAGTTTTAAAAATGGTTTGTGAAACGAATCTTCCTACCTAAAACATCTGTAGTTCAGATACCGCAATAGTGCGCCAGACTTCACAAACAGCAAAAATCACCACAATCTGGCCTGCTGATCCATCTGAGTGTGCAGGTCTGGTATTCTAACCTAGCTTAAAGAGTTACTAAACCCACAACAGTAAAATCAGTCTGTATATGCAGTAAAGTATGCTTGTTATACTCACTGTGGAACCTAAGGGGTTAATCCTCTGCATTGTGTAAAAAGGATGTTTGATCCTCCCCTTCTTCCAGAGTCCCCAATCCATCTGCTGATAGAACAGAGCCTTGGGCGAAAACGGCACATGCTCAGTTTGGTGTGTATTGCTAGAAAAATGTCCCTGGGAGAGTGCATGTGATGAGCACGGGTATTTCTGTGATCCAGACAGAGGGTCAAGGGTCATGCAGCCTCATAGGACAATCAGGGGAGAATGATAACTCCTACAAACTTAAACCAGTGCTCTGCTGAACATTGATAGAAGCCACAAGACTAATCTAACTGCTGATGAGAAAAGGTATTTAGCAGTTTATATTTACTAAAATAATTGCATTTCCATGTTCTGTGTACTGTGGGAGATCAGATATAGTGAAAGCAGGGCCCTGGGTTTAGTAACACTTTAAAGTGGAACTTCACTCTCTCTCAATCAACATTGACTATTTTTAATCCTTATGCTGCTAGCATTAGTAAACAGACAGGAAAGTATATCACATTTACTTATTTTAAACAATTATTGTTTTATGTTTCTTCAGTTACTTTCTGCTTTCTTGCCTAGACAAATGATATCATACATTCCAGGAGTCTTCAGGAAGGGAGGATGGGTTTTCTCAACAAAGCACATCCTCCTGTTTATATGCCTGAACCAAGGGCAAATGGATCCCAGAAAGTAAATGCTACATGAGTCATCTGCCCTTACTCAAGATGGCCACAGCCAGAAATGCTAGAGCAATTTTCTCAAAGTGATTTCTCAGAAAAAAAAGCATGGAGGCATGGATGGATGGGGGAGTTTGCTTTGAATATTAAAAATGAATTAGCATTTATGATTTGTGCTGCTCAGATGCCGTGTATTCCACTTTAAAATATATGTAAACTCTTACCTTTTCACTCACATTTTCACATTGGTATCAAGTATGTCTGCATATAAAGTGATCCACCGCGTGTTCCCTGTAAGATCCGAAGCCTCTGGGTGATCCACCATTGAAGTATTGGCCCATCATTTTTCATTTTTAAAATTCATCACTACGCAGATGCCACATGCAGAAAGCCTGCACCTTTCTAAAAAAAATTTGAACAATTTTTAATCCTTATTACAAGAAAGCGGTATTACACTAGGGTGGTTGTGCGCTCTCTCTTTTTGTATGTTTAGGTCCTCTCTCACCCCCCCCCCCCCCGTGGGAGATAAGAGGGCTGCAGCACCCCAGGAGACAAAAAAGGATAAGAGATAAAGTACTTGGACGTTCTATGTTGTAACATTTCCCATCCATCTTGGTACCGTAGTGGCCAGTGTACACGTTCGTTTATTATTTCTTCCGTGTATGTTTTACTTCTTAAGCATGATTTGCTCACTTTCAAACTTTCAACGTTACAGTGTTTCATGGATTTCACAGGCAGTCCAACAATGTCACTTGTTACCTGGAGAAGACCTAACATCATACAAGACACTCCTACTAACCTGCCATAGAAGCATAGAGACACAGAGAAATTGTGCGGGAAATGTTGCTCTGGAATCCCATGTAGGGTAATCGCATGAACAAGTGCTTAGGCACCAAGTCACATGATCTCTAATGAAGGGAACATCAGATTTCAGGCTGGTTTATCCCTGCAGTGGGATGTGAATGCAGAGAGTGGTATTAGAGGACAGATTAGCAGTTTTATCCCAAATTATAAACTCACCAATATTAAATGCTGAACTCAAGGCAAATATAAACCCCAAAATAACGCTGATTTCTGATAATACATCATGTAAAATCCCCCTCAGTAAGCAGTGTAAGTACCTACATTTTGACTTGGTATCATGCAGCAGTCCCTGTATACAGCAGGGGTCAGAATGGGGAGGAGAAACAGCACAAGGAGCCAATCAGTTGTGCTGCAGTTTTCATGTGCTAACAACAAACACGCTGAGAACAGGAGAGATCAGACTAATAGAGAGGACTTATTCTAGTGCTTCTCAATTCAATGCCATGTCACAGGCAAGGAAGGGGAAAGATCCGCAAGTGTTACTGAACAGAAGCAGAGAAAAAAAAAATCATGTCCTGCCAGAGAGGACTGTGCTACGTGTCAGATTTGGGTAAATCTCAGGACTGGATGGACAGAAATCAATAACATTTTGCAGATGAAAAAAGCTGCCATATTTTATGTTTGTATAGATGCCTGCCTGGTGTTTAACCACTAGCCTACAGGGCACTTATACCCCCTTGCTGCCCAGGCCAATTTCCAGCTTTCAGTGCTGTCACACTTTCAATGACAATTGCGCGGTCATGCAACACTGTACCCATATGCCATTTTTATCAATTTTTTGTGACAGATAGAGCTTTATTTTGGTGGTATTTAATCACCTCTGGGTTTTTTTATTTTTTCTTAAATGGAAAAAAAAAAACACTGAAAATTTTGAAAAAACGTTTCTTAGTTTTTGTTATAAAATTTTGTAAATAAGTGATTTTTCTCCTTCACTGATGTGCGCTAATGAGGCTGCAGTGATGGGCACTGATAGGTGGCACTGATGGGCATTGACAGGCATCACTGATGGGCACTGAAAGGCAGCACTGATACATGGCACTGATAGGCGGCACTGACTGGAACTGTTAGGCGGCAATGACTAACACTGATGGGTGACACTGAAAGGCAGCTCAGATAGGCACTGATATGTGGCATTGATGTGCACTGGTAGGCGCCGACATGTGGCACTGATGGGCACTGGCACGAGGCACTGATGAGCACTGACACAAGGCACTGATGGACACTGACAGGTGGCACTGCTGGGGCTACACTGCTCATCAGGGCACACTGATCATCAGTGCCCTGATGATCAGTGTACATGTCCCCTCTGAGGAATGCCGATCACTGGCTCTCCTCTCGAGCTGTCACGCTGACAGCTCGAGAGGAGAGAAATGCAGATAACTGGCATTTCCCTGTTTACATGTGATCAGCTGTGATTGGACACAGCAGATCCCATGACCGAGCCGACATCTTCGGCTCTTTCCGTGATAAGTGATCCGCTGTGTCCTTCGGACACAGCGCACCGCCGAGCGCTGAGAATGAGAGGACGTCATAGGACGTCCTCCCAGAACGAGAGAACCACCTTGCGTCTGTCATATTACTATATAGCGGGCGGGAGTTGGTTAAGCTTTAACCTCCCTAGCGGTCTGATTATGTCAGTATTTCTGTGCTCAAAGTGGTACATTTTTTTTGCATGGAAATATGTAGTTTTTTTTATTGTAGGCCGGTAATTTTTAGGAATAACTCACTGAAATCTGTCCGAACAAGAGTCTCGTAAACATCCCGGGTAGGATAAAAACTTGAAACACGAAATCATAAATTATAATTAAATAATCATAAAAAATAACAATAATAATAAATTTAATTCAATAATATAATCAAACCAAAAACACTGAAATTTGAAATATAGCGCCAAGTTCGCACATCACTGAGCAAAGTCGCAAAATCGTTTTCAGTGTCTGATGACGAATTTCCCCACAAATCACTATCACTCAATTCTGCAAGTGGTTCTGATTTTCTATCGCTGTTCTCTAGCTGGTCTAAAACCGCTTTTGACCTAAAGGGATGCTTTTTGGACGCCATGGACATTTCTTAGTTTCCAGGCACAAAAACGGTAAAAATGCAGGCAGGGCACAGGACAAAGCACTCGGGACAAAATGTATGTGAAATGGTTTGATACAGTAATGTTTTACTATGTGATTTTAGTGAGTTCAGTGAATGTCACTTTTAAAATTTTAAAATTTCCCGCCAGTTCCATCTCCCTACGTCCTGACGTCGCAGGGAATGGAACCCGGAAGACAGATGCCGGCATCGGCCAGAGGACATTGCTGGGGACACTGCAGGAGGGACATCGCAGGAGCGCAAGACAAGGTAAGCGAAGAAGAGATCCCAAAGCAGCGCCGCAGGGTATTCCCGAGTGTAGCTCGGGCTTACCGCTTGTGGTACTGAAACTTTACCAAGAGCTACACTCGGGAATACCACCAGGGAGGTTAATGCTGCAAACCTGAGGGGCAGTTAGGTTGGCCACATTTGAGTGCATCTTGCGGTTCTGGAAAAAAAAAAAAAAAAAAACAACTTTGCAGTTGATGCATGTATGCATCAGACACATGAGGGATGTTTATGTGGTTGGAAAGCAAAGGAAAGACCCATAACTGCCCATCTCTGGTCACCTGTGATAACTCCCCCCATTAAATTACTCTCTGCTATGTGTAGACAGTATATAAATTTCAATACATATCCTTACAGCTGGCATTTTTTCAAAAACAAAACAAGCCACAGACATTAAAGGAGAAAAAATGATATTCAAATTCTGAACAAATGCTCAATGTTTAAATCACAAATGATTAGTAAAATAATTGCTGCACAGCGCTCCATAGCAGGCTTTCATCGCCATCTAGGGGAAGTACTAAAAACTGCAAATTAAAAAAAAATTCTGCAGGGACCAGATCATGGGGTAGAAAAAACCGGCAAGAAAAAAAAAAGCATTTTGGACTGTACACAAAATAAAAAACAGCATGACAACAGATAATGATGGGGTAATGATGATAAAAAAAAAACAATATCTGATGAGGGAGTGGGATGTTGGTAATTATATTAACAGTTTATATTTTAAATCATAGAAGATTGATACCAGAATTTTGTATTCACCTTCACTTTGCTACATTAAGCGGAGAATTCTCCAACAGCCCCTCTTTCCTTTCTCAGTCCAAAAAAAGTCAAGGGGAAACTGCATGCTGTCTTTGTGACTGAAGATGCAAATTTATTGTCAGTATCACAAGGTACAGGATCAAAGGTTTTGACGGCATGAAGACCGAGATTGAGCTCTGCAGTCAATTTTGAAGCAGTTGTTTTCTTTTTCTGGGTCACAATCCTGCCCAATGTCCTTTTGTCTCTTTTGGTCAGTTGACCATGTCAGCCATGCGTATCATTTTCCTGGAAACTGTATATACCGTCATAACCTTTGATACTGTACAGCAAGTAAATTGGCAACTTCAGTCACATCTTCAGGCACCAGCTCAGCAGCACCAACAATTTTTGCTCTCTTTGAAGCTCAGTAAGCTCTGACATGAATTGTAAACTTACTTAAAAACATTGATTTTTTGGAGATTGTTTTGTAAAAATGCATTTACACTTAAACGCATGAGGCCAAAAGACAAATGTGTCTCTTTACTGGACTTTTATAAGTTTTATCTTTCCAAAGAAACATCCCTCATTCTAAACAATCACGCCTTATTCAAGTCATCAGTTTCTGGCAACACTTATATTTGTGAGAAACTATTTTCAAGGATGAAGCACACAAAGGGCAAAATTAGAGCCAAAATATCTGATGAGCACCTTGAGAATTGCTACTCCATCCATTGAATTAGATATTGATGCGTTAATTTATCAAAAACAAATCAAATATCGCACTAGTTTTATGTTGCATTCTTCTACTCCTATAATAAAAAAAAAATGAAGTTTTATTACTCAGATAGGTACCATTATCTATATCAGTGATCATTACCTTGTGATCTGCTTGACTTTTCCTGCTCATCAGCTACCCTTATTGTCAGTATTAGTGTGGCCCAAGACAATTCCTCTTCTTCCAATGTGGCCCAGGAAAGTCAAACATTTGGACACCCCTGCTGAGTAAGAACTCTAAAGTTTGACATGACTTCAATAAGCTGAAATCCCACTAGATGGCAGCAAGGCTCAGCAAATAAGTGTAAGTCTCTTTACCCTTTCAAACAATATAAAACTATCTATCCGGTAGAAGTTTCTCTTCAAAGCAGACAGTGGCACCACAAACACACACCTCAAAACAATTAAAGGGACACTTTTTAATCAGAGTCTAGCATCAAGTCATATAAGCTCCTGGGATATTGATCTGGTCAATTAAGTAGCAGAGGGGGTTGTTAATCAGTTTCAGATGCTTTGGTGTTAATGAAATTAACAGGAGCACTAGATGGGCAACAATGAGACCACCCCCAAAACAAGAATGGTTTTATAGCAGGAGACCGCTGACATTTTTTCCCTACTTATCTTTTCTGACTGGATTTCACTTGTTTTGCATTTGGCTAGGGTCAGTGTCACTACTGGTAGCATGAGGCAATACCTGAAATCTACAGAGGTTGCACAGGCAGGCCCAACTCCTCCAGGATGGCACATCAATACTTACCATTGCCAGAAGGTTTGCTGCATCTCCCAGCGCATTCTCAAAAGCATGGAGGAGATTCCAGGAGACAGGCAGTTACTCTAGGAGAGCTGGACAGGGCAGTTGAAGGTCCTTAACCCATCAGCAGGAACAGTATCTGCTCCTCTGTGCAAGGACGAACAGGATGAGAACTGCCAGAGCCCTACAAAATGACCTCTAGAAACCCACTGGTGTGAATGTCTCTGACCGAACAATCAGAAACTAATTTCATGAGGGTGGCCTTGAGGGCACGATGTCCTCTAGTGGGCCCTGTGCTCACTGACCGACACCATAGAGCTCGATTGGCATTTGCCATTGAACACCAGAATTAGCAGTTCTGCCACTGACACCCTGTGCTTTTCACAGATGAGAGCAGGTTCACCCTGAGCACATGTGACAGACGTGAAAGGGTTTAAAGAAGCCATGGAGAATGTTATGCTGCCTGTAACATTGTTCAGTATGACTGTTTTGGTGGTGGGTCAACGATGGTCTGGGGAAGCATATCCATGGAGGGACACACAGACCTCTAGAGGCTAGACAATGGCACCCTGACTGCTATTAGGTATTGGGATGAAATCCTTGGACCCATTTTCAGACCCTACACTGGTGTAGTGGGTCCTGGGTTCCTCCTGGTGCACGACAATGCCTGGCCTCATGTGGAAAGAGTAAGCAGGCAGTTCCTGGAGGATGAAAGAATTGACACCACTGAATGGCCCCCACACTCGCCTGATGTACATCCAATATAACACCTCTGGGATATCATGTTTCTGTTCATTCGTTGCCACCAGGTTGCACCTCAGACTGTCCAGAAGTTCAGTGACGCCCTGGTCCAGATTTGGGAGGAAATCCCCGAGGACACCATCTATCGTCTCCTTAGGAGCATGCGCCGACATTGTCAGGAATGCATACAAGCACGTGGGGGCCATACAAACTACTGAGTACCATTCTGAGTTGCTGCAATGAAATTTCAGCAAAATGGACTCGCCTGCTGCATCATTTTTGCACTTTGATTTCTGTGATGTCTTTGAATTCAGTCTCTGTAGGTTGATAATTTTCATTTCCATCAAACGATGGGGCATTCTTACGTTCCTAACACATTACCCAGTCCATATCAGTATAGAAATCCAGCATAATATTTTTTCCCATTGAGAACTGATGTGTTTTCAAAGTGTACTTTTAATTTTGAGCAGTGTATATAACACATTCATTTCAGTTTTAACCATGATCCATTCTACTTGAGAATCATAGGTTATATATTATCAGTAGACAATGTATCAGAAGATGCGGCATTCAAGGTGACAGAAAAATAAAAAACAAAACGTGGCCACAAGGGGGCATGTAAAGCCTGTGTCATATATGATGATGTAAAACAAATGTCTCACCTGTCCCAGCCCCAGATGTCCAAATTACCTTAACATTAGGACAGTTTTGTTATGCAACATACAAAACTGCAGTTTATTAAATAAAAAAAAAACTAGTAAATATAAGCACTATAATGTATGCAAAACACACAGACTTTACCAAAACTTAACAGTCATCACAGAGCCATGCAAAGCTTGTATGAGGAAATGACACCGCAGTGACCCCTGACATTATATCCACTAGACAGTGAAGAGAGAAGATTACAGCTGACATTTCCAATCATAGGTATGCCTGCCAATATTCATGTGTTAGTTTTCATCCTTTGCATAGGACCTCACAGACCTCTATCCAGAGCATACCGAGGTTTAAAAAAAAAAAGTGAAAAATACATTTTCCCTAGAATGCTGCTGACATAATCTATTCC